TTGTATGAATACCTATACCTTAATCTACAAAATTTCAACCAATTTAAATGCACTTCTCTTATCATACAACCGGCTTTCGTAACTCACCCTTATAGAAGTTTGTCATTTGATTTGACAACCACCGTAATAACACGATCGTTTTCACCTCATCATCGTTGTCGCGTACTATAAATTTGGTAGTCACTGCTCATTGAGTGTTAGAGTGGCACGGAAATGGCTTAGAGTCTTTCTAAGATTAGGAAAGAAATTGACGATCTTCTTTCATTTGGTGCAGAAAGTTGACAAAAAAGTACCTGATGAATATATCCTCAAGTTTTCAATTGAATCGTACAGAAAGGTGATTGAATTGCCACTCTCATTAACCTGAGATAGTTTATATCATCATCATAAGGTCGTCAGTGCTAATACTGGTTGGACATGCCCTCCAGTCTTTCCTATCTTCAGCTGATCTTCTCATTTCTCTAAAACTAGAACATCCCACATTCTTAACTATTTGGAAACAGTAATCTAATCTAGGCCTAACCCCTACCCCTCCTAACTCCCATTTCTGCCCAACCTATCTCTCCTATTCCTTATTGACTTCCACAGAGTCCTCTGTTTTTCTAGTCTTTCTATATCTCTTCATGTTTATCCTTCTCTATCCACGGTATCCTCATCATTCGCCTGTAAAACCACTTTTGGAACGCTTCTAACCTTTTCTTTTCTGCAGCGCCCACCGTCCACGTTTCGCATGCGTTCAGCGCCGCTCTCCAAACACACACCTTTAACATTTTTTTTTCGAATTTCTAAATTAACCGCTATCCTGTACTTTATATCCCTACTACTTCTTCCGCTTAGACTTATCTGACTTTCTAGATACGTAAAATCAGCCACTTCTTCTAATTTTTCGTCTCATATCTTAATACTCGCTTTTTATAGTTTATAGTGGATAAAAAATTGAAAATGAATTTTCACATTAATACTGTTAAATGTCAAAGTGTTTTATATATAAAGTGTATGTTAATGAATGGTTGCAGCATCACAACAATGCTCCTGCACATTTATTAGTATCAATTGTCCGCGATTTTGTGGCTCGAAATTCGATTACATCAAATCATCCCCATTACTCACCTGATTTAACCTCGTGTTCTTTGCCCATACAAGATCGGCACTGAAACACCTGTGTGTATCTCACTCGTCCAATAAGTACTGCACCTTATTTTTATATAATAATAATAATCGGAAAATGATCTGAAACAGAATGACGTGGGTGGCTAGATCTCCCTGGAAAAAAATTTTATCCTTAAATTTTTTCTGAAAATATAAGTTGAGTAGATATATGCTTACCCGCTGAAAAATACATTTTTTCTTCTGGATGAATGGTATATCCTATATTCTTTTCTGTACTCCTGACCATGTATTTACAAAATTTCATGATGAACGATTAAGTAGGTATGGCGTAAAATCGACCACATAAAACTAAATCTTCTCTATCCCACGGAAACACTATTTTTTCTGGATAAAAGGTACCCTATGTCCTTTTCTGTATCCCTGACAATGTGTCTATAAAATTTCGTGGTGATCGGTTAGGTAGTTATGTCGTTAAAAACCGACAAACAAACTCGCATTCGAATTTATAATATTAGTTAGATTTATTGACTAATTTAATTAAAGAAAGTAAGAATTTAAACAAATAATACTCTTTTTTCTAATTTACCTGTTATACTTTCTAATATTGTATAACAGAAATACCGTTCGATTGGAATTTTACGCCGTTTACAGCACGTTTCTACAATAAATTTCGTAAAACGTCGAGTTGCAATCAAATGTTTTCAGCAAACTCTTCCTTGTCGCAGCGACGGATGAGTAAAAGTAAGCCAATTAATTGTCTGTTTTAACGTAATGCAGTAATCCATTGTTGTCCATTTTATGCAATTAACGCTGCAATTATTTCAATGCTAAAGTAATTAGAAGCTGTTTTAAATCTGTTAAGTTATTAAATAATCTAATTCTTCAGAAAGAAAAATGATTTTGCAATATTTAATGTTTAAGCCAGCTTTGTATCCTCAATGTTGGTTTCGTTTAAAAATTGAGGTCGAATTTTCCTTTCGTGCCGCCCTGGACACCGTAAATAATACCTCCCCATTAACCTCTTTCTACTTAAAAAAAGTATTAATTTTTCAAAAGTAGAAAGTTATTGAATTCAGGACTATTTTAAATAATCGAGTAGGTATTTATCTGATCTCTACGTTTTGATATTATAAAAAGCTAAATCTCAAAAAATTACGCCGAATGCTGTAAATCCCATCAAAATCAGTTGATCCGTTCGAGAATATGGTTGACGAAAAGTTTCAAAAAAAGTTTTTTCTTTTGAAACAACACTCGAATTCCTGATGAAGTCGAGATTTGGTATTCAGGTCTCTGTTTGTGCTTTACAAATATTAACATATGTGCAACAGGTTGATTCATTTAAAAGATATTTCTGTCCAAATTAAAAAAAAAAAGAAAATTTGAAACAATTATCAGATTTTGAAGCTTTAAGATTTACAAATGCATATGTTTTCGAGCGATTTGGATTCAAAAATAATGAAAAATTTGTCCTGTACGGTACAGATTCGTTTTAAATGGATAACATTTTGTAATCATATATTTTTTTGTAGTATCTATATAAATTTATTGTATTTATTTTTATTTGTAATGCACATTTTTTTAAGCATTTTTGATAACACAAAAAAATCTCGAATTTTACTGCTCTCGACACTAGTCCCTGGTGCCCCTGGTGTAAATTTAGCGCTAATAAAAATAATTAAAAAAAATATCGTTTTGTGTATGTCTGTTGTTCTCGTTATATACTCAGACAATTTTGAAGGACTTTGTAGTACAACTCATGTCTATTCCTAGAAGTGCAAATGGTAGCACATAGACAATGACTCAGATTTATTTATTTTTACTGAAATAAAACCATAGATCAATGAAATTTTGTTCCTTAAAATCTATATAAAGAAATTGAGTCACAAAAAACACTTGAATTGCTTCACTGAAAATATTTATTGTCTTAACAGTTGCAACCTTCACGGATCATTCTCAAGGGAATTGAGGTAGTAATAATATGCTACCTAAAAATACCTTCTCTTGAGTATGTTGTTGCGAGTTGGAACAATATTGTTGAAAAATAAATATTTTTAGCGAAGGAATCCCAGTGTTTTTTGTTATTCAATCATATATCATTTTTTATAATGCGATACACATTCTGTCAGTTTTATTTTCTTCTTTAATTTTGAATTTCTACTTAATGCCACTTACTTTAGAGCGCGTTATGTAATTCATTATTACAATTTGAAAAGTGAAAATATAGAAATGAAAATCGTCTCGTGAGAATTAGTTTGTTCTTTCGTCGTAACGGTTTCCGGCACGTTTATTGTAACAAGTGAAAAGCAAATAATTGGTTAAATTTACACGGTCACTTTTTCTTTTTCTAATGTGCCGTACCGTATCAAACGCGGTGACGTTTTATTTTTTGGACAACTATTGAACTTAAAATCTCACTCATTTGCGTAGATTTACAACCAAGAAGTTTTTTTTGCGTATTTCAACATCTCAGTTGATTATATTCAAGATCAGAAAATGGTTCATGACTTTGAAAACGCCAGTTGAGAGAAACTTTTACACAAGGTTGAAATTCAACTAGACGACAGAGAAAGAAATTGTCATATAAATTCGAGGTAACATGCCATCAAATGCAGCTCATTAACCCGTCTCAATTCGCGACATTATGTTATAAAATGCAGCTCATCGATACGTGTCAATTCGCACCATTATCCTATCAGACGCAGCTCATTAACCCATCTCAATTCGCGACATTATGCTATAAACTGCAGCTCACCGATCCGTCTCAATTCGCGGCATTATGCTATAAAATGCAGCTCGTTAACCCGTTTCGATTCGCGGCATTATGCTATCAAATGCAGCTCATTAACCCGTTTCAATTTGCGGTAGTATGCTATAAAATGCAGCTCACCGATCCGTTTCAATTCGCGGCATTATGCTATCAAATGCAGCTATTCTATCCGTCTCAATTCGCGGCATTATGCTATAAAATGCAGCTCACCGATCCGTCTCAATTCGCGGCATTATGCCTACTATAAAACACGGCTCACCGATCCGTCTCAATTCGCGGCATTATGCTATAAAATGCAGCTCACCGATCCGTCTTAATTCTCGGCATTATGCTATAAAATGCAGCTCACCGATCCGTCTTAATTCTCGGCATTATGCTATAAAATGCAGCTCACCGATCCGTCTCAATTCGCTGCATTATGCTATCAAATACAGCTATTCAACCCGTCTCAATTCACGGCATTATCCTATAAAATGCAGCTCACTGGTCCGGCTCAATTCACCGCATTATCCTATTAAATGCAGCTATTCAATTCGTCTCATTTCGTCGTATTATACTATCAAATGGAGCTTTTCAACCCGTCTCAATTCGTCGGTCCGCCTCAATGCGCGGCGTTGTGCTATCAAATGCAGCTCATCGACCCGTCTCAATTCGCGACACCAGTTTTTTCTATCCCGAGGTAATGTACACTGTAAATTGCAGTAGAAATAGCAACATTACGCAGACAGTTTTTTTTACTCTTTTACTGTCTTCATCTCTCCCTCATTTCCACGATTGCTAAAAAGTGTGAGGAGGGTCTTCCGTCCTTTGCACCACAGTGTAGGTACGTAGGTGGGAAAACCCGCAGCTGAAGCAATTGAAACACAATAAAGTTTTAAACTTTTATTTATTTGATAATAACAGTAATGGTCGAAACAATATTGTCCAGACAATAAATAAAATTTTCTGAACGTATGCCAAGGTATGACTGTATATGCGTCGTATGTTTAACATGAGAAGTGACAGTCTCTTGTTTCTTCTACAACAATTTCGAAACCTTACATGTAGATACAGTGTTTGTTAGCAATGTCCTTGACTGAGTGTTTATATCATGCATTCTACTTAACTGGAACTTTATTTTTAGTGGAAACATCAATGTGTCCAAAGAATCATATCCGGGCGAGACTACCGGATCATCCGGTCGTCATTTGTCCAAATCAAAAAAAACTACGTCAAGAAGGCAGCACAGGAATCACGTTCCTGATGAAGACGAAGCCGCGGATGATAACTCGAAAAAGCACGACGACTTTAGCGACTTGGTCGACTATTTAGACCTAGACAGTGCCGAGAAAGAAAAATACAGAATCGAAATCGACCGTGGTCATTCAGTTGTCGGCAGTGAAGAAAAGGACGATAAGTCCAATCCTACGCTGGGCCAGCTAAAAGGGGTTAAAACTAGGTGAGTAATTATTTTAATATTGATGAGACAACAATCAACAATTTTTAACGTAATATGGTGATATGTTTTTGTTCGGTCTTTTTTTTCGAAATTTGAAAGCTATGCGAAGAAGTGGTTTTCGCGCCCATCATACTTCAAGGATTCCGAAGGTATATATACTAACCTTCGAATTGTTGGAAATTTTGAGTTTTCGATTTAAATAACACTACACTACAATATATATATATATATATGAAACACTTTAAGCTTTTTAATAGCGATTAACATTTAATATACAAACAATGTGAATTTAATTTAATTTCCACTCAGAACAAATTACGTACGAACTAATAAGTACGTTTCGTTGTTGTTACTGCTGTCACCTCTTGTAGCTAAGTGGTTAGAGCAGTGGTGAGTAAAGCAAAGGGACTCGGGTTCGATTCCCGGCGAGGCTATGACAGTAGCAACAATTAGTAATTTGTATCTGGTGGGTAAAAGCTGAATTAATTTCATATTAATGTTTAAATAAAGATTTATAATTAGGAATGAATCAATCAAAACCGCATTCTTCAGTTAATTTTCATTTCAATTAAAAACAAAAATAAATAAATCATAAATAAATTTACTAGGGAAGGAAATTAAAAGATGTGGATAATTTCCTTAGGATTGGTTTTTAAGGCTAAGATAAGGTCTAATTTATATGCGTATACGGTAATATAAATACATACAGTTTTTTCCGACATTGTTTTTTTCTTTCTTTCACAAACATATTTGCGTGGTAACGGACCAAAAAGGTAAATAAAATATGTACTTAATCTCTTCAAAGAATAGTACTAAGTATATTTTTAGAATCCGAATTTCTCATTTCATAATTCCAGGAAATATTCTGCTCAGAGAGAAAAGTTTGTTTAGAATTAAAACGACTCTGTCAAGTAAACATTTCTAATCGTTTTTTTTTTAATATGAATCGACAAGAACGGCAAACTTCTCTAAAGGCAAAGTTTAATTTATTCTAAATTGACATTCCACAATTCACAGAGAAAATAATATCTCGTTTATACAAAAGTAAGTGAGTTCGTTTTTGCTATAAAGGACTAACATGTTTGATTCAAACAATTTAAATTCGATTCATATTAATACAAAAATCACAAAAATTTTTAGAAAACTAGTGTATTGCCTTGAAGAGTTTAATAGTAGAAGTCAAGTTTATAATACATTTTCTTGCTATTTTTAACAAACTAAGTTCGTCACTTGAAATATAGAAGACTGTCTGTTTAACTGTAGAGAACTGAAGATCTATATGATAATCAAGTTAGTTATACTTTAAAACAACTCTCACCAAATCTTGTAACATATCCATAAAGTCGCTAGTACCTACAATGTTAGTACTTATATCTATTAATTATTTGTTAGAAGCTGGAAACTAACAGCTACTACTAGGTTGGTAGGTCAATTAGCAGTCGTTTATATCATTAATAATAAAAAAATCGATTTCGAAGTTCAATCGAAAAGTCATGAGAAACGAGTAAGGCAGGGTGGTGAAGCAGCTTACTGTCTTCACTCACTCTATGAAGGTTGTCTGCCATTTTCTACGTTCTCTTAGTAGATTAAGCTAATATTGTTATAATATTATTACATTATTTTTAAGTTGTAATATCACATTACAATAATTATGTTTCTACATAATATATGTATAAAATTTGCTTATATACAGGGTGTCCCAAGCAAGCGGGTTTCTTCAACAACTGCTTCACAGTTAAAGATATCAAAAAAGGTTTCTTACAAAAGTGGTAGGTACCATATATATCATCATCATATCCTAAAATCATTTTCGATTGTACAGAGTGTCCCATTTTTTCTGGAGGCAACCTAAGTTCATTTTTTCAAATGGAATGCCCCATTTGTAATTGCATTTTTAAATTCCTTTATTAATCATATATTATGTCCAAAATGCACCACTTTCAATAAAATTCGCACTAAATCAATAAATAGGCCATTTTGAATATCTCCGAAGCGAAAGCACACAGACGTGTGCTATTTTCACATATAGCTTATGGGAGAAATAGCCTACTATTTTCACTATTAACATGTTCTTTTCAAATTCATTGAAATCTACCACTTCCAAAATAAATTGTTTAGAACCGGCATAACTATTTTTTTTTTAAGGAATGCCTTATTTTTTGTCAGCTTATCATGTGCAAAATTTTATTTCCTTTCGTCCAATATAAGGTTGTTACTATCCACAACTAACACTTTTTAAGAAAATTAAACTTTTTTATCAGAATATCAAATGCCTTGGTCGGCGATTAGCTTTTATCCACCTTTGTTTCCTACAAACGTCAATTCCGTGTGCTGAAGAAGGTTTTGAGAAACGTTTCACTTTAACGTTGTTAATTTATTAAACTGATTAAAGAACCCCGCTTACTTGGGACACCCTGTATATATATATATATGATATTATCACCAAGGGGTATCCACATTAGCACGTTTACAATTTATAGAATATCATATTATTAACATTATCTACTTTTTTGTGATATTGAAATTCGAAAAGAAAAAGTTTTAGCGTTGATTGAAAAAACAGTGTGTATTGCAAGGTGAATCAACGATTCATGAACACATTTAAATTTAAATGAACAATTGTGGCCCTCGGAATTAAATCCGAATAAAAAATAAATTAGTTTTATCGGAAGCATGACAGACCTGATATTTTCAATTTAATTACTTTGCAATTGATTGCGCACATCCCCATCTGCTCCGGTGGCGCGCGGTTCCATATTGTATAGGGTGCCGCGACACTAATGTGGTGGTGGTGGTTCAACGTGGAGCCAGGCTGGAATTCGATTCCGACTGGACATTTTAGCAATTCGTGTTTACGTCGTTGGCGATCCGTAAACAGGAAAGATAAAATTTACATGCGACGTGATTTGCGTACATTTTCATTTCGACGTTAATTTTCGGAAAAAAAAGTCGACAAACATCAATTGCACTAACTACCGAGCGGATAAAACTGAAATACTCAACATCCACTACAAACACGTATATTCAAACGAATTTTAAGCCATGACCTCTAATGAATATTTGCTTTAAATTAACAGTAATACTTCCTGGTGGTGTTATAAATAAATTAGATTCATACCGATTTCCAAACTCATGGCAGTCAAGTTAACTATATATAGGTATGTTTTGATATAACTACTGACGTGTATGTATTCTGTTCACTTTTTATCCCGTATTGAATATACAGGGTGTTTCTATAATAAGTAGCAAGCTTGTAGGAGGTGATAGAGCACTATAAAACAAAAAAATTTAATAAATAAATGTTTAGTGGTCTAAAAGTCAACCGCTCCACAACCACCACTGTTTACATTTTTCATCAATGCAGTTGCTTAGTTGTTATTGCGATTTCTCTGTAGGTTGCCAATTCACGTCCAGGACCGGCTTCAGATTGCAACTTCGTCTGGTTTTCTTACAACTTTTTTGTCCCTTAACCACGTTGATTTACTCACCATGCGATTCCCTATTAAATCTAGTTAAGACTCTCCAAAGTTTACTATTACTATAAAGATTAATGGAGAAAAAAATACGTGTAATTATACAACTGATATGAATTGGTTTAATGGTATTATTTGTACATTATGCTTCGCACGGGTGCAATGCTGATGGTAAATATACTACAGAATGTCTTTATATACCACAATCACAGCTTTTTTGTCATTAGACAAACCGGCCGGTACCGCCATAACCGCTATGTCCCTGCATTTTAAGTCTGTAATATCTTCGAAAATATTCATTTAAATTACATGCTGTAAAGGGTCATATTGATCTATATTAAATGAACAATGTATTTAAAAGTACTTAATTGGATAAAGATTAATGCTGTATTGCTTAAAATCGCTTCGTAAATTAGCCATTATTTCTCGTAAAACGTAAAGGATAAAAAATGGTTATTGTGGGTTATCCTTAAGAGATAGACATATACCATCGGGGACTTTTTTGTAGACCTTTTTAAGGTGTACAATACTGTAGTACATTATATTGATCTATCTCGTAGGGTTCAGCCAGCGTTTGTAATGTAAGCCCAGAAAATATATTTATTTACGACATCAGATTACAAACCTCTAAAATTATCAGTGTTTCTGTACTATATTATGCATGTATTATACATATAAACCTTCCTCTTGAATTACTTTATCTATTAAAAAAAACACATTAAAATCCGTTGCGTAGTTTTAAAGATCTAGGCATGCATAGAGACAGACAGCGGGGGAAATGGGCTGCATGATTTCGTTACATACGAACTCGCATGAAACGAACTTATCCTACCGTGCGTTAAGAAGTTTCACTTCAAAAAGAAATTTAATACATTAACAATATCGAAGCCTTTACCTAAAAGAAAAATTAAAAAATGTCCAAAAATCATTAAAATCAAACAGCAAAGAACATACTGGTGCGTAGATAAATGTCACCGAGAGAACAACATGAAATAACCGAGTTTTGGACCATTCACATGAAAGGCAAAATAATAATTGGAAATAATTATTGGGTTATTACTGAAAAGAAAAAGTTAAACTTCCTTTTAACACGACAAATGTATACGTACAGTTTATTATCAATGAAGTAGATTAATACTATCTATCTTGATTTTAAAAAGTATTTCGATTTTATGAATCAGGACCTTCATAAAAATTAATTCGTTAAGGTTGAACACAGAGTGTGCTACATAAATTTGAATAGTAAGTTATTTATCCAATCGCGGGTTGATTCTTCAAATCAAAGGTAACTACTCAGATACTTACCCACTACCTACCAGTTGTAGTGTTCCGCAAGGATTTTAGCTTGAGCCTCTGTTATTTATTTTACATATTTATTGAAAATACATCTGCTGAAATTCTAACCTTTGTTGATGATAGTATTCATTCTCCCATGGGTTATAGAAATACATGTGTTACAGTTTAGGTAACCCAAGTATTAATGCTGCGAAACGGGGAAAGCTTTGTAAGAAGAGCATTTTCTTGTTC